TCTGAAATTGACGACAGTCATCGGTGTAACAGTAATAATAGTGGTGTTGACACCTGAACGTTGTTAAGCTGAAATAATGAAGGAGGTGACATCACACAGCCAGCCGCCACCCCTGCAGCTTTGAGCCAGATTGTAAAGCTGAGCAAGAGGAAACCTCTGAGAAGCTTTTTAGAAAGAAAAACTCACCGTATCAAACGTCGGATCTGTGCTGCCAAATTCTCTCCTTTCATTTAAGACTTGTCTAAACTCGATTGATAATAGCTGAACATTTCTTGCTCACAGCAAAGTTAATCGAGCCTGAGGTGAAACACAGATAAGTTTTACAGGACCTGACACCGAATCCTATTAACTCCTCCATAGTGCTTTTCTGGATATTCTGAAGTTTCAAAGATCCCATTTAAGCTCAGATTCAACATTAGACTCCAAACTAATTTTCCTTAAAACCTAATCATTTTATTTATTTTATTCTGATGAGAAGTTGCAGTGTTTTTTTTTAAACGATTGCATTTATTAGAGGTGAACTTTGTGAGTTCCTGACCTGTACTCTGGACTCTGGCAGGTTGATTTTCAGAGCCACCTCCTCCCTCATGAAGATGTCTGGGTAGCGTGTTTTGGCAAACAGAGACTCCAGGATGTCCAGCTGCGTCCGGGTGAAGGTGGTGCGTTCCCGCCGCTGCTTCCGAGGGTTGGCTGCGGGAGGCAAAATAAACCCACCAAAAACGGAAAATGTCAGAAAGTTGATCCGAGACAATCAGCAAAACCAATCCTATTATTAAAAGTTCAATTTTTTACGTATTCTAAATTGGTTCTATTGTGATTTCATGTTTTGACATTTTTTCACTCAGGTTGTACATAGATCTAACTAATATGATCAGCTATATAAGCAAATCATTTAAAACAAGATGCACAAATAAAATCACCTTATAATTTTAACTGATGAACAAAAACTGCTAAAATCCAGTTTACTCAAAGCTTTTTTTTGACTGTAACGGGATTTGAGCCTTTCCCTTTTCTTGCAGGATTAGGAAACCTTCTCTTGCAGCTGATAGTGGATTGCCTGCATGGTTTTTCCACAACCAGATACATAATTTGCAAACTTAAACAGCTAATTCCGTAATACATAATTAACAGAGTCAATGTTTGAACTGTTTACACTGGGTTTACATACTTGCCTGAGTTTCCTATCTGAGCACTTTTACTCTTTTCTGTGTTTTACAAAATCCCAAAATTCCTTTAGAGTAGAAAATCCTCTGGATTAATTTCTTTGAGTTTAGATTTTGATCAACAAATGATCAAATTAAGAACAAAAAAAAAAGCAATACAAAAGCCACAAATCTGTTGCCTGATAGGAATTACAAATCAGATGCTAACCTCAAAACAATTATCTCTTGCTTTGAACAACCGGCAAAGAAAAAACTTATTTTAGGGGCAAATGACAAAGTCTTTATTTCAGGGCGGTTGTGTCGCCCCCTGATGGAGTGCCGCTCTGGGCAGTGAGTCATATGTCATGCTTCTTTAAACTGTTGGCATTTAAACCACATGTTTAAAGATTATGAACTTGATTTTTTTTCTATGCTATCACTATTTTAGTCTATTTTGTTGTTTATTTATTTTCACAATAAATCAAACAAAGGAAAGAGTTCAAAAAGATATAGAAAATTATATTAGATGTTTTATATATGCTTTAAATGATGCCTCTCATGAAGCCTGTTTCTTTTCAACTGACCCCTTTGTATGAGTGCATTATTCTTTAAATTGCAAAATAAATGTTTTGCACTGCAACACATTTTTTAATTATGATTTTTTTATTATTTACAAAATCTATAAATATCTGTTTCAGTGTTAAGCATATTGGATGGTATAATAAGATACAAATCTGCAATTTGCTGTTTAATTTTACTCTGAATAAGTTTTACCTTAAGTGGTACAACAATGTGGACACATTTGATTTAGTCTATAATTCATATTTCTGAACAGAAATTAGAAAAATTTTATCTTGCATATAATTTTCTTTATTTAATTAATTTATTTCAGCTTATATTTGTTTGGCTAAATTAGTAAATTATTAAAATTAAGTTGCTCCGCTGGTTTGTTGCCCCAAGCTCGGTTTGGTTATAAAAATGCAGGAAAAAGCTATAAAACTTAACTTAAATATTGATAAACTAAGCAAACATAGGTTGTGACAATAGTTATCATATCTCTCACTCATCCCAGACCGTTTACTTTACATTATTGCCAAACTGAAGTTTGTTCAGTTTGGATGTTTGTTCATTTTTCTTTCTCAATTTTGTTAACAAGCAAATTTGCCTTAACAAAAATTCAAATCATTTTGATGATCAAATAGATTCTAAGTTATAAATTAGTCCAATTTTAGAAATAAACACTGAACATGATGAAGTGTTTTCATGCAGATGATCCATCTTGATCAGAATGACCTACTTATTGAAACTTTTTAAAAGAGGAGCTACTTTGCTCCTCTTCACAAGAACCGTTTCCATAAAATCAGGAACTGATTTTAAAAAGGCACCGAAAAGTGAAATAATTATTTTATGGCTAGGGCCATAATTTAGACCCCCCTTCTTTTCTTTTCTTTCCTTTCTTTTTCTTTCCCTTTCTTCTATTTTCTCTACTTTTCCCTCTGAAGCAAAGATGGCTGTTTATCTGTCCTATAGAGACAGTAACAATAATAGAGGGAGCTCACCTTGATGCCGCTGCTCTGTGGAAGTGAAGCCAGAATAAGGCTGGAGTTTCGCTCCCACAGAGCCACACAGAACATGGAAGATTTTATTCAGTGTGACAACATTTTAACTGCAAAAACGAGCTGAAAATAATTAAAAATTGATTAAATTTAGACCTATTTACCCTTAATTTGAGTAAGTAAATAAGACAATTTGATATGATGCACTTGAAATAAGACAGTGCAATTGTTTTTTTTTTCTTATTTGAAATGTAAATTGTCTTGTTCCATTGGCAAAGTGTCTCACTTTCCTCCTAAATTCAAGACTAAATGCACTTATTTTATGAATAAATTAATTATTTAGATTTGCATTTTTTTTTTTTTTTTTGCAGTGTGGGTCAGATGAAGGAGAACTACAATTTAACAAGCTCCCCATTTAAGGATTTTTAGCTGACACTTGTTTTACATCAATTGTTTATAGTTTTTGAATTGTGTGAATAAGGTGTTGTTAAAAGTCAAAGTCTACTTTCCTTTCCTTTATTTTTCTATCCTTTATTTTTCTGTCCTCATCCTTCCTTCCTCAAAGTTTATTTTTCTTTTCTTTATATTTCTTTCCTTATTTTTTCTTTCCTTTCCTTTATTTTTCTATCCTTTATTTTTCTTTCCTTTTCTTTTCTTTCCTTTCCTTTATTTTTCCTTCCTTATCCTTCCTTCCTTCCTTATCCTTCCTTCCTTCCTTCCTTCCCCAGGCCTTATGTCGCTCCTTACCGGGGTATCCTACGGACGGGTGCAGCAGGTCCATGGCGGCTCCGCTCAGGCCCAGTCCGTTCATGCCGTACGGGGCCTGTTTGAGGTAAGACATCATGCTAGAAGCAGCGAGGGGAGACCGGAGTCTGGGCGGACTGGACAGGTGCAGGGCCCCGCTGTTCCACTGGGACCTTCGGCTCCTGCAAAACAAACAAACAAACAATCAAACACCTGAACAAAAGTCCAAAAATACACCTGGTTTGGGAAATAGGAGATAAACTAACCTGAAATTCACAAACTGTTTCCCTCTGTTAAATTTCTCCCATAAATAAACGAAAACTGCTTAAACCCTTTACTACTTTATATATGTAAATCCTGTAATAAAATACTAAATAAAAAATAAAAAAACTGATTTTAAATAAGAGGAGATTTTATATCTCTAAGGGAGTTTTAATGAGGGTTAAATTGTGTCCTCAACTATTTAATATTTTATCGGTTAGTTTATAAAGTAAATGTTTAAATATATGTTAGGTGACTTATTTTTGTCGCCAGTCCCATCTGAACAAATCGATTATAGTGGATCAGATGATGTTGGTTCATTATGTATAAATTCACATAATGCCAGAAGCAGCAGAATAAAAGTTTTACCGCCTAGACTGCAGCTAAATATGAACTTTTAACGTTTGGAAACTATTTTGGTTGAAAAATGTTTAATTTTGGACCAATAACTGAAGCTGGACTCAAACTTTATAACTTTCTGAATCCTCGCCAAGTTATTTTAATAGATTCTTTATTATTTCAGTATAACGCCTGATGCGTTAATCATAACCAACTTCTTATGTTTGGTTTATTATTTATTTATTTTTACTGAGGAAGGAACAAAAAAATGTTATGTAATTCTTTCCAAATTAAAAAAATAATTAAAACATAATAATGTACTTCCGTATCCTAAATCTGCTTACAACCTATTTGGTAATTGGTCAAATAAAATGATAATAAAATCATATAAATATAATTGAATAAGGAAACGCATTCTTTAAAAGCATATCCGTTTGTATTGTCGGTGTAAACAGTTTCAAACTGCAATCCCTTTTTTCTTTAATTATTTAAACCCTTTATTAATGAGTTTTTGAAGGATTTATAAATAAAAATAATACTTTAAATTTAAATGCTAAGCATTGAGATTGAACTGAGACGATGAAGCTGATCAGGGGGACTTTCAAAGTCTTTTATTTTTTAATATATATATATTTTTTACGCATTGCTAAATTAATTAATTTGTAGCATGGGAAAAAAATGATCTCCACTTTCCTGTTTCTTGCATGAACCATGCGCGTAAAAATGAAATTACGCTGTTATTAATATAAATGTGCGCTGTTGATTCTTTTTTTTTTTTTTTTACATTACCGTAATGGAAACATATCCTCCTTCTATCAGCACTAAATGATCACATTCATCTCTATGATGCGTTCATTAATTCATCAGCTCACAGTAATGGATGTCGCTTGAGGATTTCCATCTTTCCTCTGTGGGAATGCGCTCCTGAAGAGCCTCTCCTCCCCACACAGAGCTAATTCCTTCCTGGATTAATATCTCTGCTAAAACTGTTGGTTATCATCCAGTATCACTTTCATTAAAATGACAAATTAAAGATTCTTTGGAGGCCTTTATTTGTTGGCTCAAAGTGAAAATAAGGTCCCCTTTTATCAAATTAATAAAAGCGCGCATGGAATTTAAACGGGGTACTAAAATAAATCAAGTTTCTATTTCCTAAAGATATATTTTTGATTTAATTTCTACAGAATTTGACTCCACTGAGGAAATATTAAACGATCCATTGTAATTGTCATTAGCTCGGGTGTAAATCAGTGTATATTTAGATAAGAATGTCCCTAATCCACTGGGCTGGTTTGCTTGTTTCCCTCTGAAAGGCCCCCTGGCCCTCAGGTAGAGTTGAACTCAGGCATTAAGGCTTCCAATAAAGAACTACTTGTTCTACAACCGCAGGAAGCAGCCGAATTGCGCAATGTAAATGTGGAGAAAACTGTGTGCAAATGAACGCCATTACAATTTAGATTAGATCTACAGGCGGCAATTAGCAGAGAGCTCTTATCAGCAGAGTGGAGCCGCGACAAGATCCACCAGTGGGAGGAAATACACGGAGAGAAAGGAGAGTTTTCTCTGCGAAGCAGCCTGATTAAACCTGCTAACATCCATCCATGCAGAGAAAACACAGAGTGGAGTTAAAAACACTCTGCAGATCCACAGACACCCAAAGATACTTTAACTGAATGATGAGTTTGTTTATACAATTATGTTACTGTTTTTACAGGAAAGTGTTTGAGATTAAGTGTAAAAAGTTTAGTTTATAAAACATTTTTTTTTATAAACTAAAATAAAGAAAAATATGATTGTGTTTTTCTTTCTTTTACCTATAATGGTTTTAAAAAAAATTAAATGGCGTGTTTTTAGCAATAATTTAAAGTGGATTTCGTTAAACCAGTATTAGGAAATCTATCAAGGCAAAGTTCTTCAGTTTAATTTTCAAATTTTAATACGTTTAGGTAACAAAATAGAAACGATTTCCAGCTTATTTTATTATTTTCTATAAGTTTGCGTGATTGTTTTTATTTGCAGAAAATGGAAATAGAGCTTGATTAATT